CTTGGGGCTTTGGCCTTTAACTAATGCAAATTAGAGAAATTGATTAACACAATACAAAAAGTTATACCTTCCCCTGTAATACATTTTTTATAGCTGTGGCTTGATAAATTAGTATATTGTGTGTTTTTAAATGAATATGATTTATTGCTGTTGTCTACCATATGAAGAAACACAAAAAAAATTGTTTTCAGGATCATTGACTTGAACATATCAATGGCACTGTTGGACAATTCTTGCTGAGTGTTAAGATGATTTATGTAACAGACCAAAGGTTTCCACAGTAATGCATTATAGTCTCAAGCTATCAAGCCTTGTTCATGCAGAGACAAAAGCAGCTAAAAATCACTTGCTTCTGAAAGTCCTCTATTTAGAAATTAGAGATAAGTTTGATCTTATTAAAACTCCTGAAAATATCCACTGTCAAATATATTATCCTAACTTTCAAATATGTATGAGGTACGTGGCTGTTTTTCTGCTTCTAATGAGCTCATTGTTTTTACATCACCCTCAATTCATAAGTATTTCAGTTATGTAACGACGTGTTCAATAATAGAAGAGGAGACAGCCTGAAGCATCTATCTTTTAAAAACTGGCATCTTTCCACAGTTCAGATGCAGAAGCCTTGGTGCAAATGAAAAATTAAGACATGCTCTACATAGTTGGCAGAACCATTCATATCATTTAAATTAAATATCTATAGGCAAATTCCCAATTTTTGAGGAACTGTTGCTAATATGAGATTCTGTTGAATAAATGAATCACCAGACTGATGCAACCACTGAGCACACAAATCAGACTTAGTGAGTGTTTTCTTCTGTGCTGTTATTCAGGAACAATTCTGCCCTTTCCAGAGGGATTTACACTGGATATTTGAAAGCTTGCTGCCTCTTGTGGTCAGTCAGTTTGAGCCTTCTCTTTTGATTTGCCTTCTCTGATCACTTCTTAAAGTTCTATAAAAATTATTTTGAAACATAAGTTTTCCTGGCCAATATGCAGTTATCACTGTAGAGTACTTAAGGAAAGGGGCTGTATTTGTATTTCCTGTCATCATTTCCCTTATTTTTCTGATGAGTAACCTCAAAAGTAAATACTAGATTTTTCTGTGTGTGTGTTATCAGCACAGGAGGATGCATAGCCCTAATTTATGTGTTGCCAAAGTAAAGAACTGTCTCCTGAAATACACTTCTTCTCAGCGTCTCAGTTTTTCCCCTCCTTCCATAGCTTGTTGATGGATTTGGCCAGGCTAAGGGGCGTAAAATGTAAATTGAAGAGGACCAATGGGGTCTTGTTCAGAAACAAAAGCTTGGATTTGGGTTGGACAGTGAGTCAGGGTTAAGTATTAATATAATTTTATTCTGGCAAGCTTTTCTCAGAAAATTATACACCAAGGTAGCATGTAGATAATGAAGCCTCTTGATCTCAGAGTGGGCATCTCAATCATCTGTTTTATGAAGTTCCCATGATTTCAAGCAGAAATGTCACAAATATTTAGCCAGAAAGATAGAGTATTGTCCTCTAAATTTGGGAAGACATTCTTAATTCAGCCCAGAGGCTGGGACAGGATGGTGACTGCTCTGGGAGTGGGAGTTCTTGCTGCAGGGTTAAGCTCGAGAATGGCTTTTTGGTAAATTTCCCTAAAATTTCCCTTTACGGAAGAAGGTGACAATACAACATTCCAGGAGAGCCCATTGCCAGCAGTGGATCACTGTGGATCACAAGTGGGTGTTGGTATCAAGGGGGCCCCAGGTGGTTACTAGAAGAGGTTTTCCAATGGCAAGGGGAGAAGTGGCAGGAAAGTAGGAGTGAGTGTCTGAAGGTTGTAGCTGCTATTCACAGGACAAACACACGTCCCACTCCTCATGCCTTTCCTCTGGGCATGGCTGCAACAGCCTTGTTCCTGGGATATGTTGGGTTTGCTGCAGATGTATCTAGGAATTTTGGGTTTGATATGCCATTGTGCTAAGTCATTACAAGCATCTGAACCAAGCTCCTGGACGAGACAAATGAATATCAGCAAATCACTGTTGAAGTAACTTCCCTGAGGAAGTCTATGTGCATTACATGCACACAATACTGAGCATGGAAATATCAAACTGACTGAAAATGTAAGGTGAATAGCTCTGCAGATGCTTTTGAATATCTGTCCATACCATTAGCAAATAGCTTGGATTCTGCCTAGTTTTGCTGAAATAGTACAATAGTTTATGTCTTAAGAAAAAAAAAATTAAAAATAGAGAAATATAAGAAACATTGTAATTTGAATTATATGTTATTTGGTATGTCATTATGGCTTTTGCTATTCTAGTCCTATGTTTAAGTGTAGTGGACAATAGTACTGTAGGTGATGGGATCAAATACACTCTTAATTGGTTTACAAGCAGCAACCATGGTGTGATTTTTTTTCTTTTTTTAGTAATTAATCAGAGAACAACCATTTATTTTAAATGCTTAACCCATACATTTTATATGTTACGTTATTATATATCTACACGACACAACTTGGATTGTGGAGCTGATAGTGCTTTATACTTCCTTCTTAATAAGTGAAGCTAATGTCCTACTAGCAGTTCAATTGATTCCACCATTTTTGAAGTATTACTGGGTAAAGATAATTTGAAGCACAAATAATCAAAGGTCAAACCTGGTCCATCCATATGTGACATGCAAAAAGAGGTGTACAAATCAGCAGATATGCTAGGTGCTTCCAATAGCCTGTCAATATTTGATTTAGGAATATTTGCTCTTAGTAGTGAACTTAAGTCTCACAGAACAGTGCAAGAGAGAGAAAATATATGTTAATATGTTCTACCTGCAAAACCAGGGGAGAGAAAACTCTTCTGAGGCCATAAGTCTTTTGGGACAGTAGAAAAGATACAAACATAAATGTCATCTTTTCACAGCGAATTAATCCCTCCTGGGAGCTGTAGGCTACATGGATCCAAGATCACCAAGATTACTGTTTCCAAATCTAAGTGTACCTGCAGGGATAGTGCTGGTCCAGGAGAGCATTATGAATGTTTTCCCATCCTTCATTTCTGTTCCTTGCTGTTTAATTATTGTGGTATTTGGTCTTAAACTCACTTTAGACACCTTTTTCTTCATCATGGACTTTATATAATAGTAATTAGTAACTTGCTAATGTATGCATTGTCCCTAGTACTTTTATTTGGTTTCACGAAATTTATACATTGCTCCTGAATAAATGTGATGTTGTCTTTGCCATGTTTAAGCCTTCTCTTCGTTTAGTGAAGGTCTATTTTACTGTATTTCCCCTTGGAGAAATGGCTGCATTATGGCTTGTAGAAGTGGGGGCAAATGCAACTTACAGAGGTCGGTAGACTCACACCAGCTTGCCATTAAGGAGAAAGCAGGGGCAAAGGGAGAGCAAACTCCTGTTCTGGACATGAGAAACACAGCTGGAATGCATGGGTAGAATCAAAGTCTTCACGCATAACAGTGATGAACCCTGTTCTGTCGTTTTCATTTCTGGGGATTTTACTTTGGCCTTTCCAGTTTCTAGATTTCTTGTTCTATTTCATACTAAGGTATTTGGTAAAGAGATTAAAACCTTTTTGGGAAAAAAGCAAAGCAGCCAAAACCATGGCAATGTGCATTAGAGGAGGTTTTTCTGTGTTCACCAGCTCACTGAAAACATTTAATACTGTTTAATTTTGGTCTGATTAAAGTTTATATATACATGCTTGTACAGAGGAGAGTAACCTCAGGCATCAGGAGGACATTATTATGATGACTAATGAAAAATCCCTTTCTTTGTAATTGGCCATTGATTCTTCCCTTGTCCTTCTGCATGAATTCATACACCGTACTGTTCTCCATTTGGAAACATATTGGGGAAAACATTTTCTTCCAGTAGCTGCTCTTTGAAATTGTGCCTTCATACTCATCCTTTGTGGTGATACTTTTCAGGAGCAGAATGTATTTAAATCCTTGCATTTCCATTAACAAAAGCAGCACTCAGAGCAGGACTGCTGTGCTGAAGAGGGGCAGGAAGGGTGGGAGTAGTCTCTGCTATAAATCTGCTGACTGTGGGCATGAGATGTGCAAAGACTGATCACTTTGCAAAGGAGTTGGCTGTTCTCAGAAAAGCAGAGCAGGCTTTCAGGCGGAGCCAATGCAACTGATCTCTTTAACTCTTTATTATGCTCACATTTTCCTTTTAAGAAATATCCACATAGCCACCCTATCCCACAAATGAGCCTATCTGCTTTACAAAAACTGTAGCTAAATAATAACAATTATCCACCTTGGTGCATTCCTCTGACTTTGCCTGTGGCTTTTCCTTGGACGAGATTGAGTTGGATAACTTAATGGCAGCAGACAACAAAACACTAACAGTTGTTTGGTGGAGTTAATAATTCAGATAACTGACAAAACATATGTATAATTTAGTTTATGGATTAAGAAAGAAAAAAAAGTTTATTTTTTTTAGACATTCAAATGTATTTTTATAAACACAAAGTATACTCATACTAATTATGTACTGTTTCTTTTTCTTTGTAGCCGAGTAAATGCGTGGCACTCCCATAAGCATAAAAGTGGTATCTTTCTTCGCTATGTAATTCTTGGTCTGAGTAGCAGGGAGTAAAATGAACCATTTTGTGCCAATATTAATTTTATAAATTTCATTCCCTTTTCCACAATTCCCATGAAAAAGGTGTTCAGCTAGATGAACACAGTAAATTTTAATAGGACCCTTGAAATCTGTTTGAGTTCACCTTCTTTAAAAAAAATATTTCTAAGGGAAAAGTATCATAGATTCTTATGCCTTAGAGGCATTTTTTCCTCCGTGCATAATGGTGAGAGTCCACTTGTATAATATACACCTCTTGAAAATATTCTTTGTTAAACTGTAGATTGTGCTTAAAAGTATGTGAGTTTGACTCTTTTTGTTTGTTCTGTATGATTTTCATTGTTATTATTGACCAGTGCTCAAATGATTTTCATAGCATTTTCCATTTGTTGTTTCTTTTTTATTCCAGTCTTTTCCTGGCCCAAGTCTCGAAAGTGAAGATTTCAACATACCTCCTATAACTCCTCCGTCATTGCCTGACCACTCCCTGGTGCACTTGAATGAGATAGAGTCTGGGTACCACTCTCTGTGTCATCCCATGAACCACAATGGCCTCCTTCCATTCCACCCTCAAAACATGGATCTACCTGAAATTACAGTTTCCAACATGCTTGGCCAAGACGGGACACTGCTTTCCAATTCCCTTTCTGTGGTAAGCACTTTGAGTCTTTCCCTTCTATTCTAAGTACAAAATCACGGAAATATGGATGTGTTTGAAATCCTTCAAGGGGGCCAACACCTGCACCACTCACATTTTGGAGTGCACTGTCCTGACTGGGTGTTACATTGCATTCCCTATGTCAAATCCTCCCCCCACTGGAGCTGAGGGGAGATTTTCAGCTGAGTTCCTCAAAGCCAGGATGTTACCTTCCACCACCTTGGGTAGAAGTGTTCCTGCTTTACAGGGATGTAAATAATGACAGGAAGAGGCTCAAGGCTCTGACTCCTGCTGCAGCAGGGTTTAGATCCAGATGGCCGTTGTTCTGTATTTGTCTGATGAGGCTCTTTCCATTCTCATTTGCATGTGCTGAGAGTTGTACAAAAATTTAATATCTCCTTTCTTGTTTACCGCACATTTGGAAAACAGCAAATGTTATTTCTGATTCTAGGCCAAATCTTACAGCCTTTTTACAGTTCCCAGTCCTTAGCCAGCCAGAATCCAATTGAAATGACTGGACAACTTGCTTATAAAGTCTGTCAGATAGTCATTATGGTCGTAATCTTGTGAAGCCTGATATTATAAATCACTTCTTTGAATGTTAAATTGCTTGCAACAACTGCAGAGCTACTTTACACGTTACATTTTCAAGTGGGCTCTACAATTAATTAGTATACTTCTTGCATAGCAGCTCCAGACAAGATTATTTCACATTGATGTGCAATTCTAACCCAAAGAGTTAAAAATCCCATGAAAGGGAATGTGTATCCCACGGCACTTAAAGCACTAGGTGGGCTAAATGGGCTGCCCAGGAGCTGCAGATCCCAACAGACAAAGATAAGAATCTATTGTTCCTAGAGATAAAGGGTCTGGGCTTCTCACCAAAAGTTCTGCACTTAGGGACTGAAGCTGTTTAGGCTTCCCAGCTTGCTAGCTCCCCACCACATTATCTAAAAAACATAAATCAGTCCTGGGAACCTGAGAGCTGACACAACACATGGAGGTTTGGGTAGTGAGGGATCTAGGTTCAGCACTCCATCAGCCCCTCAGCCTAACAGTCCCAGAGCATGGGGATATGGTGGCTGGAAAAGACTTAGTTTAAAACAAAAATATGCCTTGTCATATGGTGTCATTGCAACTTAATTAAAATAAAGCTACCTTGATTTTGAGGAGCTCTGCATTCCCTCAGAGGATGTCCAAAAAGCAGAGGGCACTAGTACTGGCTTCTTATATGTTGCACAGTTGTTATTGATTTACTAGGATGTTGCACACTTTGTGTTTGAGGTCAGAATCTGACCCCAGGGTTATGTTCAATAATGGGAGGAGTGGAGGAGAGGCAGATTTATGTAGAGAAATATAAATATGCTCTATGGAAAGGGCCTATATTTTCCTTGCTTGTCTACGAAGCTGATGGCATGCATTAAAGAGCTCAAGTGAAATCTTGTGTGGGGCTCTGAGAATCAGAGCGATGAAAAGACTTGAAAAAGTAAGAGAAATGCTTGACACTCTAGTCAAGACAGACAGTATTTCATTGAATTGACCTCTTTTGAGCCATGGTTATGGCTCAGAACTATGTATTCTTTTAAGCTGTGATATTTCACATTAACCTTTTGCAACAAGCTCTGAACAAAGGGCCTTGAGAGTGTGTAGATCATTGCAGTGAATAATCGCATTGAGGGCAAATAAAAAAAAATTGAATAACATAACTAGGCAATTTTGCTATTGGAACTTAGTGAAGATCAGAAGAGATGAAAATCAGATGTCAAGAAAATACGTGCTAAATTTTGTCAGTAATTTCTGAGGATTTGTTCAATAAATAAAGCATGATCCTTGAAGTGTCATGCACTAAGTCAACTGTTATCCCTAACTTGCATGCTCTTTTTGCACAAGAGTGCCTCTTACCTAGCAATAGTTTTAACTCAAGCTGGCTTGTCTGTGCAGGGGATGAAGCTACAGCTCATGTTAGTGCAACTGATACGATGTTAACACCTCGATTTCATACAGTTCAAACACTGTTTGGCAGCATAGCTCCTCTGATTTGAATTTGATAACTTGAGAGAAATTAACTTGAGGGAAATAATTTAACTCTTCAGTGAACTCAGTGGCTTCTTCAGTGAATAGAATGACCCCATTGTTCTTTTGGCTTTTGCTTCTGATGAAGAAATGCAGGGGATTTGTAGAGTTAACATTCTTTACTTAGTTTTGAATCTTTATAATCTGGAACATTTAACATTTTTTCTTCAATATGACTCTTTTCTTGTGCTATTACTCATCTCCAAGTTTCCTTTTTACTATCTCATCAAACTGATCCATTTAACATGTTTTTGTCTAAATCACTCCTATATTGCCTCATATAGAACATAATTTATAAGTTTCTCAAATCTATCTAAACCCTTGGTTCCATATAATTTCTAGTATATCAAGTACCGTTTAGTTTACATGGAAAACATGTGTCTCACTTCATTTTTCAGGGCACTAATGGGTATTTTTAGAAAAAATATTCTTAGAAACAAATCTGTTGGCTGTTCTCTATCCCTAAATAATTTCATATCTTCAGCAAATTTTACTTATGTTGGGACAAATTCAGCTGCATTGCAATGTGCCTGTGATTGAATTTGGTTATTTTTTTTCTTTTGTTTAAACATCCTTCTTTTTCACTAGTTTTTAACCCATGTTGGTATTTTAACAATAATACCTTCTTTTTTATCTGTATTAGAACTAGTGAGTGTTTGTTTTTTTTATAGCCAAAGCATTACTTAATGCTAGCCAAATGTGAGAAAAGAATCTCAGTGAGCTCAGAAACAGATGGAAAATAGTTCATATAATAAATATAGTGTTTTTCTTCCATCTCAGCTACCAGGTGTTTTCAGATGAGGATTTCTGTGATTTTGGACAGATTGAAAATTGAGGATGTACCCTTCCTAAAACCCCTTCAAATCTCCCCCCATCAGAATTCGCTGTTTCATACTGTGCAGTATTGCCTCCATGCTGCAGATGAAATCCCTTTCAGTAAGGATGGCAGGATTTACCCCAATCTCTCTAAGAATTCTCCTCTGTGGAAGTGCTTAAATACACACAATAAGAGCTCACTACCAGCTCAGTGAATTCGTATTACGGATTGGCTTCTTAAAGATTTTTACACTGTGGGAATTCTTTCTAGAAAAATTTCTCAGCACTGGGAGATAAAAATTTCTCATCGCCATTGACAGTGTCTTAAATTTGGAATTAACCTTCTTTGAAGTTTTTTTGATTGATTGGAGTTTCATATTGCATGCCCACTATTAAAAAAAAATCAAACAGCAACACTAAAATTTTTCCTTCTCATTATTCTGCTGTCAGTTCACTTATTTACTTCTGTTTGTATATTTCTGTATTTTTTCTTAGTTGACAAGCAGAATATACATGTGCACATTAATTTAAATCATGCTGTCACTTGCAAATTTCTTTAGGAGCTCATTATATCTGGATATCAGGGCTTCAGAAATCTACAAAATTTGTGCAGAATGTGAGTCACAGTGGTATTAACCCACAATCCAGCCCCAATAGGGAGCCCTCTAAAATCCTCCTTCAAAATGGATATGACTTCTATTCCAGCTTCTTAATTGAATGCAGTTTGATACAAATAGAATTGTTAGTTTGACAAAAATGTACTTATGTTCCTGTAAACATGTTTGCTTCTATATAATGGAATATGGATCCCTTCCTGGTTTCCTACCAGCTAAAGACTGTGTGGGTTTGGTTAGATCCGAGTTGGGGCTTGACATGCCAGCCTTTCTCTGTCAGTGTGTGTTGTCCTGAAATATCCCAAAGGATATTGGGACCACAAGAGTTACCCTTCTAACATTTTCAGAAAATTCATGTTGTATGAGAATGTGTATCTAGCTGAAAAAATGCTTTTAAATGTGTTTTAGAAAATGTGTTTTTCTGTGTATCAATAAAATTATAGACATTCCAGCTTCTTTAGTGTATCCCGTAGATAGCTGGTTTTTCTGCGGGAAACCTGTGCTGTTTATACCCGCTGTAAAAATAGTGCTGTTTTTACATAGTGGGGAAAAAAACCCAACCTATGTATGGAACGCTTTAATTTGTAATCTTGTGCTGATCTTTTTGAAAATGTGGTTCATGATGATACATCATAGAAAATTTATAAAGAAAGAAATAGAAGATTTCAGTTTCTTGAAATGCTTAGAATTTCTGGATTTGAAGAGGTAAAGATGTTAAAAGACAATAAAATCAGGGACTTTATTTCCCAAATGCTCTACTTGTGCCGGCAACAAGAGCCAGCATAATGTATATACTTAGGTTTATTGTCATTTTTAGTATACAGTCAAGGCACACTTTGAATTCAAAGGCTACCCTACAACTGTTTTGACAACCACCACATCAGTAGGTAATGTGCAGGACATGTGAAACTGAAGCAAAAATGTTTCTTTAGGTCTATAGGGAGTGCAGTACATCAAGGAATTCAGATATATTAGAGCAGCATGAATTTCTAATATGTTGCTCTTATGGAAAAGACCACTGGCATATTGAATAATGCTGCTTTCAAAGCAGAGCAGAAAATGTGATTACAGACAATTTCATTGCTGTTTTTAAAATAAATATTTTTGAAATCTTGAGGTGTTTTATTTCATGTAATGCATAAAGTATGTAACAGTGTGCTAGAGCTAAAGATCTTCTAGGTCACAGAAGAGTAGATGATGTCAGCTGTAATTATTCAAATGTGGAATAATAGAAGCATTAGTTTAAAATAAATGCATGTAACAAAAGCCCATGTCCTTATATAAAAAAAAGGAATAAAAAGCTGCTCATTTTTTTGCACACTTAGACAGAAGAATAAAGGCAATGAATAATTATTTAACATTATGCCCCAATTCATTAAAGACTGAACAATTACATTATACTTTTTCATGAATTATTTTTTTTTAAATATGCAACCCAGGAGAGATTAATGTCTTAAACAAAATGTGGTACTGTATAACAGGGAAGAAAGC